GAAGATGCGATCGATGACTGGTGTGACATCACTGAGTCGGACAATGACAAGAGAGGACCAGCGTTACGAAACCGTCTAGAAGGTGAAGCTGCGATTCACAAGAGTCACAAGATGTTTCTCGACAGGGATCGCCTAAATGATCCAAATTACGGAGTGAAGTACTTCAAGAGTTTCTTGCGGCCACTCTTCGTGAAGGGCGCAGCCAATGTGTCTCTTTACCGCTTCCGGCAGTTCATGAATTCGTTGGATTACCAGGTTTCAACTCTCCGTCCAGAGGATGCAAGAAGCTTGGAACGACACTTACCTTCCGATCACGGACCCCAACAGCGCAGAGGTCCGAGCATACGTAGCAGGCCTTCCAGCCGAGGAACAAGCGGACGTCACCAACGAGCAGGCGATGGACAGAGCTAACGAACGGCTCAGAGACCAGCATGCGAGGACGATTCCGATTTTGGCCAATCTTGTGGTCCTCATCTTTGTGTCCCTGTCCGACCTCACGCAGGATCAGAGGCAGGTCTTGACATCATTGATGGCACATAGGAACCGCGTGCTAGCCGATTACCGCCTGACCGAGCTCCGTGAGGTCTACGAGGTCTTTTGTACAACAAAGACTACCGTCGACAATCCTCTCCTCGCTCCTTCTGGTCGTGGTGGTAGGAAGACCTTTTTGTTGAAGAAGGCTGCCTTGACACTCATGAAGGCTATTGGGTCGCGGACGAAGAGGATGGCACAGAAGGCTTTCTCGAAGCTGATGATGATTCCTTCTGGGTATATGACGAGGAGAACTACACATGGTTTCAGAGGCGTTTCCCAGGAATAAAGATGAGCGTGATTCAAGGGCCGCCGCAAAGGAAAAGGAAAAGGTGGCAAGGGATCCGGAGGAAGTCGCCCCTTCAAGAAACGCAAAGGCAGGTCAAACCTTGCCGACGATCAGCAGACAGATGTCTGGCAAGCAGATGGACAATGGTACGACAGTCAACGGCAAGATTCATCATGGGATGATTGGTCCTGGTACGAGTCGGAGGAGTCCTCACAGCCAGAGGCAAAGGAAAGAAAGGAAAGAAGGGCAAGGGAAAAGGCAAGCAAGGAGGAACAAATGGAAAGCACGGAAAGTCCGGAGCAGCACGCTTGCCGGTGCTGCCCAGAGCAGTACCGCAACCAACGGTCACTGCCACAACCTTTTTCGTTGACCGCACGAACTTCTCGAACTTTTCTTTCATGGCCACAGAAGAGAAGGAAGCATTCATCGCGCATCCCCTTCGATGGTGCTGGATCTTGGTTGCGCACGAGCGATGACTTCTCAGCCATCAGCGCACGACCTGATGAAGTTCTGCGATCACAATAAGGACTGTGGCATTTTGTACAGCATCGCTGAGACCACTTCTCAGTTCACCTCTGCCAACTCCGAGTCGACCAAGTGCAGGCAGAAGCTCGTGGTTTGCGTGTACGACCGAGAGTATGCAGTCCATTCCACAACATTGTGGAGCAAGGTCATGTTCCCACACTCATGTCCTTGCCACAGATGCGCAATCTCAGGTTCCAGTTTGATCTCCGTCCGGCTAAGGCGTATCTCAGTAGCCCTGTACTGGGAGTTAGGATTGTAAAGCTGCGCGTTGCTCCCAGCTCGCATCTAGTACTCGACCTGCTTGACCTCAGGCAGTTAGTCGAGCTTCCTCACCTACTTCTCGCATTACGAGTACGGCTTCCAACAGAAGACCATGGGAAGCTCTTCGCAGAAAAAGGAAGCCAAGAATCTCGCCTTTGCGACAGATGTTGAGTGGGTGGTCGATAGATGAAGCCAATATGGGACTCATCCGTATCCACAAGCAGATGAGGATTGCAAAGTACACACCCAAGGAAGGGGCTGCGCCACTTCCGCTGGAGTACCTGGACAACACGCGCGAAACGATGATTATGGAGTTCTCCAAGAGCAAGATCGAGACTCAAGAAGACAAAGGAAAGATTTCTGAGCTTCCTACCACAAAGTCTACTGACTCTTGGAAAGGTAGGACAATCTTTAGGATTCTCCTTGGGGGCATCGAGAGTAAAACCTCGGTGCCAGCCAAGACACAAGATCCTACCCGTGCGAAGGTAGGTCACCAGAAGAATTCGTAAGCAGGGGAACAGCTGAAGACAGCTCGAGAAGAAAGAAGCTCGCCCCGGAAGCTTTCCCCAATGGAAAGGAACGGGCTTCTTGTTTGTGTAATTCTGCTGTACATCCAAAAAAATATTGCTGGCAATGGAAAGGAACGGGCGAGAAGGAGGATTCGCGCCAAGGCAAACGGCCCACCGGCGCCGGAACCCAAGGCTGCAGGGCCTCCTGCAGCTTCTAGATTCTAGAGAAGACTTGGATCTTCCTGGGTACGAACCTTCGGAACTTGGAGAATCTATTCCTGAGAAAGGGAGAAAGAAGCTTTCAGATCGGTCGAAGGGTCCAGAACCTAGGAGGATCGCGCTTCCATTGCCCGGACAAGAGGTGTCAAGGGCCTCTCCTCAGTACCAGCGCATGTTGGAGAAATTGAACAACGATGTTGAGTTGTACAAGTTGCATGTGAAGCATTACCAAATGAGTCCAGCTCAAGTTCGTCGAAGGACCAGCGTGCTTGGTTTGCCAGGAGAGATCTACGACAAGTACGACCGCATTGTCCAGACATGTCGCGTCTGTGGCACTTCGGTGCCTACACCTGAGTTGCAGGACTTAGGGCATCTTCCTTTGGTGATCTCATCTTTGTTGATCATGAGGAAATCGAGTTTGGACTAAAAGGCTTATCTCGCCTTAGTCATTATTGATGGTGCCTCGCATCTCCTGTGGGCTACGGCCCTTACTAGCCTGGAAGCGCCCGAGATCTCTGGGAGCCTTTCGGCAGTGGACCGAAGAGAACTACTGTGTTTCGAAGGGAATTGTTGGACATCAAGCCTGTTGTAGTTTCATGGCATTACTCCACATCCTTGTGGACTTCACACTCCTTGGCCGAATCGCGCCGTGCCGAGACTGCTGTGCGTTTGTTCAAACGAACTTGGTCAATCATGGCTAAGGCCTTGCTGAAGGTTACGCAGAGAAGGTTACTGTTCGTCAAGCAGTCAAGAAGGTGGCCTGGAGACTAGCGCTCCCGAACAGTTCTCTCTGTTGACCCGGCCGAAGAGGACCGGGCCACTCTGGATCCCCAGAGAATTGCTGAGGGCTCATCAAGAAGCTCGACAGTCGATCGATCTTCGAAGGATCTTGCGCGGCGTGTGATGCCGTCCGACGGTCCGCCGATGGTCCATACAAGAAGGGAGATCCGGCTATTATGTCTGGCGCAAGGATGAGTCCAAGAAGAAGTCCGAAGGCGTCTGGGTCAGAGGAATTGTTGTGTCACAAGAAGGCGCCGTGGTGTTGGTTGAACTGCGCCGCACTGTTCTTCGGGTTAATCAGTCGAAGGTCAGACGTGATCATGATCCTGGGCGTGATGTGGCGATTCCTGTGAAGTCTGATGACGGTCCAAGAGGCCCATCGCAGGATGGGCAATGGGGAACTTGACCAAATTGGTAATCAGATTCTGGAGCGTGCTGCTACGAACATGAAATCTGTTACCATTCACTTACTTCTGGAAAGAGCGATTTCATTGAGATCTCTCGTCACCTTACAGGCCTCACTGCGTGCGCCTGTCATTCAGGGCTCGTTGCGAGTGAACCTGTGTTGTTTGGTGAAATGTCTTTCAAGACTTTTCAATCTTCCAGTGCTTGTGCTTGGAAGACGATCTTAGCGGCTGAGCCTGATCATGTTATCATTCACCCAGTCATTCCTGCAGAACGGTCAAGGAAAGCAGCGCGTGCCTTTTGCTGGCATTTCTGTGCTGAAGTGAGCCGTTGGCAGGGTGATCGAGGATACTTTGAGACCATCGTGTATCCTTCTCACTCTGGGCTTTGGTCATCTGAGTGTAGTCGCTCTTTGCAGTGGCGAAACAGCATGACGTTTTCCACCTTCAAGAACGGGGAACGAGAACATGGTGAACTGTCTTTTCTTTATGAAGGCTGTGACTCAACGACAGTTTTTGCTCCTCGGTTCACTGTGCAATGTCTTGTTGGTAACAGATACTCTGGCTTGAGACAAGCTTACGTGTTCGACGATTTGTTTGAAGACTTTGATGATGGAGCACTCTGCGCGTTGTGTTTGCGATGGGATAGGAACTCTGAACATTGCCTCTTCTTCCTTTCCTTCAACATACGAGTAGTCGATGCTATCGAATAACTCGAAAGGGAGGCTGCCGCGATCGCTTCATTTGGTCGCTCCGCGGTCCGCAGCGTTTTGTTACTTCGTCTTCGGTCCAGACTTTGTCATACGTGGACAGGAAGTTCACACAAAACACATCTCTCGATGCGGCAGCTTTGCGGCCCATGATGAAGAACGTGAGAGTGCTGACACTTCCTTCCCTGGAGTTTGTGTACTGCAATGTTTTCAGGGGAACCTATGGAAAAACACTTCCATTGGTTCATCGACATCTTGATGCAGTTTCGATTCTGCGGAACAGGGGCGACCATGATCATGTGTTTTTCTTGACGATTTCCATGTCTCAAAGACATGAAGGCTGACAGTTGGTCCAGGATTGTGTTTTGGAACGAATCGAAAGGTCCGACTGCACGTCGGTGGCCAGATGTTGGGTTGGATTTTACGGATCAACCTGCGGCTGTGGCTCGTCCTCTACATGAAATGGACTGTCCAGCGGCTCCGGCGTGGATGAGCCCCTGCCAAAGTCAGGATGAGCTGAACCAAGAATGGAAGGCAGCTCCAGGTCCCAGAAGTCCTCGGGAACATGAGGCGGCCTTTGCGGGGTCGTATGATTACCTGCTTTTTTTGGTTCCTCTCCGATTCACCACCAGGCAAAAGAGCAAGGCATTACCACGGCTTTGGCAGCCTAGGCCAGGGCAAGGGCTGAGGCCGGTGCCCGCCAACCAGCTAGAGGCTAGGACCGAGTCTACACAGTCCACCAATAGCAATGCTTCCTGTGAAAGTTAGTGGTGGTGGTATGGGGATGCGGGGAGCGGTGAATCCTGAAAGGAGCTAAGAGAAACCCACTAATCACCCGCAGATTGCCCACAAAACAGCTTTAAGCCCCGTGAGGAGTCGAAGTCTAACATGGAATGGGCGCAGATGCAAGTGGGTCAGCTTGATACGCTAAGACCTCACTGGACGCATTAATGGATGAGTCCTGTGGTGGGCGACGAAGTCACACATGCGGCATCACCTGCGGAGGCCATCGGACTCAGGAAGTTGCAAGTAAATTGGCGCAAATGGCAATGCTGAACACTCCATCTAACGGTACATTCGCACGTTTCGCCCCGGAGCGCTAGTGCTGCAGGCCCCGTCAGACGGCGCAGTCCCCACGCAGCCTGCGCAAGGGCCGCTCTTGGTGTTCTTCTTCTTCTTCTTCTTGTTGTTGTTGTTGTTGTTGTTGTTGTTGTTGTTGTTATTGTTGTTGTTGTTGGTGGTGGTATTGTGATTGGTGTTGTTGTTATTGTTGTTGCCTTGTTGTTGTTGCTGCTGTTGTTGCTGCTGTTGTTGCTGCTACTGCTACTGCTACTGCTACTGCTGTTGCTGTTGCTGTTGCTGTTGCTGTTGCTGTTGCTGTTGCTGTTGCTGTTGCTGTTGCTGTTGCTGTTGCTGTTGCTGTTGCTGTTGCTGTTGTTGTTGCTGTTGGTGTTGGTG